CCAATGCACCGCTCCGCGACTGTTGTTAGGGCTACTGTAAAAGACTGCAAGCAAGAGAAGCCCTGCAACAGTCACCGCGGCTACTTGGAGATTAACTTAAACAGAGTGTCTTGTAATGTTATGTGATTGTAAACCGTTGCTGTCCTGTTCATTTGCAGGTATCCCCACATCACACGGCTGTTCAGCATAGGTCAAAGTGTGCAGGGTCGTGACCTCTGGGTCATGCAGGTCACAGACAGACCTGACCAGACAGAACCGGGCGAGCCCCAGGTCAAGCTGGTCGGTAACATGCACGGCAACGAGGCTATCAGCAGAGAAGTCCTCATCTTCCTCATCCAGTATCTGTGTGAGAAGTATGGGCAGGATGACCAGGTAATATATATAGCTGTTATTTTGATAAAACCTACATTGTAAAGTACATTGTATAGCTAGTAGTGATGCATACCTAAACCCAATTTTAGGTTCAGGTCCGGATTCAAGTCCAGAGGTTTAGGTTCAGTTCCGGACTTGTAAGTCCGGACCTAAACCCATGGCATATACAAAATTGCATGTTGGCAACCTTGCAATGTTGTCTGGGTGAAACTTTGGCCACATAACATGGAGCCCGGTACTTGACGATGCCCGATGGCAATGTTTTCTTCATTTTGCAGCAAAGATTTTGCAATCTACGGAAGGTTTTAGGTGGTTTGGAAAGAAAAGGGGTATGTGAAATGGTCTTTTATGGTAATAAGTCTGGACTCGGTTCTTGACTTCAGTTTTTTTGGACTTGAACCTAAACATTCTTACAAGATGGTATCCAAGTCCAGTGAACTGCTATGCATCACTAATAGCTAGTTACTGTTAACATTATAGGCCTAAATTTTCTATGGATAAACATTAATCATACACAATTTTTCATAGTCTGTATCTGTATAGCCGGTATAACTGTCCCTATGTAATAACACTCCAGGTTCGCTCCCACTCAGTGTGGCAACTGCTGGCTGTACCGAACGACTTCTTACAACTAGTCTATGAACATCTACATTGTAACTCTAAACATTGTTTAAAGCTCTCTATAGCTAATATCCCTACTGTATACTACTCTGATATACATGTAGTTCTAGGGGAAAAAAACAACTTTTTGAACACCTCAATCATTTAAAATAACTCTTGATCATGCAGGCAATGACTAGTATCTCTTGTTCTTTTCTGTGCGGGTATTAGCTACTATTCTATTATTCTAGCTATTAGTCATTTTAAACATTTTTAATTAAGAACTTCAAGTTGATATTCTTAGATTGCCTATTGTGTATTAAAATGTCAGTGTTTTTTCCCAGGTGACTCAACTTGTGGACACGACTAACATCTTCATCATGCCCAGTATGAACCCAGACGGCTTCGAGAGGGCGAAAGAGGGGCAATGTGGCGGGACGCTCGGACGAGAGAACGCGAACGGCGTCGACTTGAATCGAAACTTCCCCGACCAGTTCAGCTCTAAGAGTTACCTGGATTCAAACTTCGAGCCGGAAACCGTGCATATGATGAAGTGGGTGATGGAAAATAG